AGAGAAACCATGCCTTTCACCCTCTGTGCAGCAGATCCTTGTCCATAAAGCAGTGATGCTCCTCCTTTCCCTTGGCCAGTCTGTCCTGACCAGTTTCTCAAAGCAAATGGAAATAAGCATCAGGAACTGGAAAGGAAAAGCTCAAAAGCCCGGTGTCACTTTTGTCCTCACCTTTCAGCTCCTCTGCAGTGGAAGAAGCAGCTATGACCTGTCCTCACTTTTGGGGAACTCCACTCCCCCTGCTTGGCACTCAAAATTCAGGCAGTGATAAATATTAGTGTGCCTGTGTCCATGCACACAGCTCCCCATACTGATGGAAACTGGAGAGTGGAAATTATGCAAATCAGATGCTGTGTCACACTAACCTGCTGGAGAAAACCTTTAGTGACCTGCTAAGGCATCCTCAGACTGATAACAACTTTTCCAAATGCCATCCAATTTGGAGGCGAAAGGGAAAGCTCAGTAGATAAACCTTCCTCTGATGCCATTCTCATCCTTGTGGCATCCCAGGGCCTCTTGGCAGCACGGTGGCATGTTGACTCATCCACTGGACATGTTTTTTTCTCTCCCTGCCAGGAGAAGCATGTGGAGGACTTGTTTTGGTAGGGTTGTTTGTCTTGTTTAAATTATTTCTTTGTATCTGTGCTCAAGGAGTGATCTGGCAGGGAAAGTGGAAGTGCAGGCAGATACCCTTGGAGAGAGTTCCCGCTTTTTTTGCTAATAAATGATGGAGATGCTCCAAAGACTGTGGAAGACAGTGGTACATGAGCATGGTCTACTCTGCACCATCCTAGGGATTATTTCTAGTCGATTTCTACTGTTCCGTCCCCAAAGAAAATCACAGTGGCTACAAGTTTTAACTGGCACAAAGTCAGCAGCAGAGTCCAAGGCATTTTGTGGCCTTACTTGCCAGGGTAGATCTGAGGAGTCCTTATCTGTGGAGCCCTTGGACCAGTTCTTGCCAGCTTGGTGTGGGACATCATGGGGAATTTTGTGCCATTCAG